AATTAATAAAAAGACATAAATAGGAATAAGTGCAATAATTAAGTATAATAAAAACAAAATAAATATTTATGACTATAACCAGAACTCGATATAATAATAATATATACAAGACATTAATTTTCTATAAGCCTGTTCACTTACTTCAATCATAATTCATAAAGAGCAATTACCTAGAACAAATATATAAGTAATTATATCCATCATAATGAATAGACTTATAATAATAATACAGCATATACATTCACTTGCCTTGCTTTCAAAGGACTCGAGCCTCATCAACTGATAGAATGCTTCACTCCAACTTTATGGCCATTGATTGACTAAGTGCTGAAACAAGTCTCAATTCCAGCTGCTAAACAAATTCAAATGTAATTCATGCTGAAACTGAGTTCCTTCCACCCAATGCTTAGCAGCATAAATGCACAAACATTTAATCGCCCTTGACAGCTTTTGCATGTACACCTCATAAAGTTAATTACATTCCATAAGCGTTCAGTAAATAAATCGCATCATGCAGAAAATTCATACCCAGTTACGCACCTTGGCAACGCTTGGGTAGCAAACTTTTAGCAGCTGCTGTTGACAATTGCCAATTGGGGACCTTCCAGCTCGGAGAGAGAGAAAGAGAGAGAGCTGTATATGTAAGTATGTGTGTATATGCTCTAGATGCAGTTCCTCAGAACTCACTCCATAGTTAATTAAAAGCTAAACAGTGAAGTTCTGACTGCTGCCACTACTACTGCTGCTGCTGCTGTTGCTGCTGCTGGGGAATGCAAATGCAAATGCATAAGCGTTACCAACAGCTACGAAAGTCCCCTCCCGAAATCTCCTCAAACCAAATCCGTAAAACCTCCGAGCAAGTCAAAACCCATTCAACAACAGTTTCGCATAATTGTAAATTCAAGTGGAAATGAATGAATTTACGCTGAACTCGACAGAAAATACCAAACCAGCAAATGCGAATATGGTGCCCGTGCTCTCACTCTCTTTGTCCTCTGATGGTGGAAAAGCGGAAAAGAGGTAACGGTAACGTTAACGTTAACGGCAATGGCAATGCCATTGCTAACGGTTACGTTCACCTCCCCCCAACCCCACCCACAGCAATATGGCGACGCGTCGCTGCGAATCACGTTGCCTGCATATTTTCATTCATTCATTTCAACGTCAACGTCTGACGGCGACGACGACGACGACGTCGACGGGTGCGACGACTACTCCCAAGTTATGGAATGCATAACGGTACGCTCTTCTTTTTCTGTAGCTCCCCTTCACATGGAGTACTATAAATTTGTCGAGAAATGTGTAACGCTTAACCAGAGGGCTAGAGCGGGCAGCGAAATAAAGTTGATTTTTAATTAGAAAACTAAAATTGTGCTGCTCTAACTCTGAATAGTTGTCCTCGTGAACTGAGATCTCCTTGGGCATAGCTGCATTGATATTGGTACATGTGCTTATTCCAGATGATGTATAATGAAATTAATTAAATATCGCTGACTTGCCACTAGTTAATAAAGTTATGAAATTTCGTAGAGATATTTCATTTGATTCTATCTTTAACATCTATTAAATGGAGAATATTCCTAGTATTAGTCAACTGTTGAGTATTATAAAGTTGAGGATTATAAGAGTATATTACGAAATTTAAATATGTATTATTATTATACTTATATTATATTTCCCTATATTTTAGTATTATAATAAATTAATCTTCTACTCAAAATATTGTTAGCTCAAAAAATAATATTTAATAATAATAAATTTATATATACATATTCAGTCAAAATACTAAAGTATTTTACTTAGATGTCATGGAAATCCGAATTATAAGTAATATAAAGATTTCATAAATGAAGGAATTATAATTTTTTTTTATTAACAATTCACTTTTAGTGTATTCAAAATTCGACAAACCTAACTTTGCTATTATATTTTTTTTTTACTATTTGTACATACACACATACATTCACATATATATGTATATCCATAACGTCCAACACAACAGCATTTGAATGTTGTGCCTTGTCGCTGCTTTGCCCTTCAAGTATTTACGCCTTTATTTATTTAACATTTCAATTGCATATTTTCGCACAAAAGCGCGTATAGCTCCCCAGTGTCAATGGCTCTGAAAGGGTTCACATTCTGTGGTTTGGGTATTGCAAAGAGAGAAATTTCTTGAAATCTTGCACGTTTTTTCATAGGCGTGAGCTATGCGAAATGTCCAAAGACCAAAGCGTTGCACTCTACTACGTGTTGCAGTTGACTAAAGTGAACGAAAGGGTTGCTGCTGCTGCTGCTATTGCTGCTACCACAATGAGGGGCACCCAGGCATCCGAGCAGCAGTGCTAAAGAGTCTTCAAGACATTTGGCTAGCGATAAAGTGCCTGTCAA